TCCAAGCGCTCTGAAAATCCTCTGTCCCTCTGTACCGAGGCAGTGACGGAGCAGTGCTGTCCTCCGCTTGTCGGAGATTGTAGAAAGGTCCATAGCTTCGAGATAAACGTTAAAACTTTCAAGCCAGTTATTCCACGGGACTGGAGGTTCACCAGGCACGGCGAGGAATGTTGCTGGTGGTGGTAAGCTGAATTGAGCCATCTTCGTCGCCAATGTTATATCTAGCCTAGCTGTAGAAGATCGCACATCTGCACAGTTTCATGTTGTACATCACTCTGTCCTTTAATGACATGTGCCACTCATTCTGACAACCCATTCATCCGTAAAGCAGCACACTGTCGTAAACCATAACAACGTACAGTACGATGTACAGCACGTCGTACCTTACATAACACGTGTGATGTTCAAAGTTTCTGATATTTTTTTATAACCCAACCCTGATCTGTACTTCTCCACAACTTTGTCCCTGACCTGTTTGGAGAGCTCCTTGGTCTTCATGGTGCCGCTTGCTTGGTGGTGCCCCTTGCTTAGTGGTGTTGCAGACTCTGCAGACTTAGTGGTGTATACTGAGCTCATGTGACAGATCATGTGACACTTAGATTGCACACAGGTGGACTTTATTTAACTAATTATGTGACTTCTGAAGGTAATTGGTTGCACCAGATCTTATTTAGGGGCTTCATAGCAAAGGGGGTGAATACATATGCACGCACCACTTTTCCGTTATTTATTTTTTAGAATTTTTTGAAACAATTCACCAATTTGACTATTTTGTGTATGTCCTTTACATTGTGCAGCAAACTCTGCTGCTGAGCCGGAGAGAGCTTCTTACATTTCTGCATCAGCATTGTGTCGTTGGGGCTGTTGTCCTGTTTCCATTTTCCCTTAGACGGCCCCTGCTTCTCCTGGCCACTTCTCATAAGGACACGCTTTTTTCCCCGACATTCTCGTTGCCAGTGACCAGAAATTCCGCAATAATGACATGCACCAGGTTTCTCTTCTGCTGAACGAGTAATGTTGTTGGTTTCACTCTGAACCTGCACAACTCTGATGACAGCCGGTTAATTATGTTGATTGATGTCTCTGTCCAGTCATGACAACCTGTCGGTGATGTCGCCGTAGCTTTGTCTCTCCCAATCTTCAAGCTTGGCACACCCGTATTTGGGGAGTTTCTCCCATACTTCTCTGCAGATCCTCTCAAGCTCTGTCAGGTTGGATGGGGAACGTTGCTGCACAGCTATTGTCAGGTCTCTCCAGAGATGTTCGATCGGGTTCAAGTCTGGGCTCTGGCTGGGCCACTCAAGGACATTCAGAGACTTGTCCCGAAGCCACTCCTGCATTGTCTTGGTCGTGGGCTTAGGGTTGTTGTCCTGTTTGAAGGTAAACACCAGTCTGAGGTCCTGAGCACTTTGGAGCAGGTTTTCATCAAGGATCTCTATGTACTTAGCTCCATTCATCTTTCCCTGATATCCCAGTGGGGGACCCTCCTGACATCCTAGTGGGGGACCCTCCTGTCCGAGGTGTTCAGTGTCCTGTCGTAAGAGACACCTCACCCTCTGTCCTACTAGGTCTTCAGTCTATAGCCCCTAAAGCCCCAGTAGGTCCAAAGCATCTTAGCCCTCAGTTCCCTGATCATCTAGTGGTTTCACAGTTTCCTGCTATGCTAGGCCCACAGTTTCCTCTCCCAATAGGCCCAGAGCTTTCTGTCCTGGTAGGTGTAACATCCCCTAGCTCATAGTCTGTAGCCCAGTCAGGCCCCAAGTCACTAGCTCTGTCAGGCCCCAAGTCACTAACATCTGGGCACTCAATCGGTTTCTCCTGGTCCAGCTGTCTTCCGTTTTTGGGTCTTTTTCTCCCTTTCTTTCAAGTGTGCAGCTATCTCCTGTCCCGGGGGCCCTCTCCTGTCGCTGACGTGGCGGTCGGGCCACGTGCTGTCCTGAGATCACTGCCCGTCCCTTCTGTGGCAATCCAGCCAACCTCAACTCCAATCTCGGAGCCCTCGCCTGTCGTCGCTGTGGGGGCCCAGCTGAGCCCTCCTGCTGCGTCCTGGCCTTGTGATCCAGGGCCTTCGTCTGGTTGCCCTGCTGCGGCCTGGTCTCCTGATCCTAGGTCCTCACCTGGTCCCTCTGCCTGAGTTTGCCACCCGTTGCTGCTTCGTGGGTCCAGCCACCAAAGTATCCAGTCTTTAGAACGTTGTCAAGCTATGGTGCTGCGGCTCTGATGTCTCCAGTCCCGGTGTCCTCAGCTGACTCCTGCTCCTCCTCTGGGGGCCTTCCCTGCCCTCACTGCTGAGGTCCTCCTGTTGCCTGTTTCTGGGCAGAGGGGGTGGCCGCCACCAAATCCACCACTGCATCCTGTTGGATCCCCTCTTCCAGAACTGCTGCACAGCCTGCACTGGTCTCCGCCACGTGACTCACCCTGGTTAGGTGACACACACCTTCCCAACGGGGTGGCCAGATGCACCAAATAACAAATCCTGTTTGGCCAGACGCATATGCCCAACGTTTCTGACTGGGTGGCCAGACACACTCAAGGGCTTTCCCTTTTTTGGCTCCTTCACAGCTCTGCCTCCCTGTCCAGGTGGATGAACACACACTAGTGGCCTTATGTCATCTCCTTTAAGTTAGAGCTTTTTGTCTGGAGTTCACATTTACACAGTAAATGTGGGGGTGGCTGTTAAAAGGCCAGCTCCTATTTAGCAGTCTCAGCACCCCTGAACTATTAGTTGGTTGTACTTGCCCAACACTCCTTATTTTCTCACCATTCCACGTGCACCTCACTGAAACCCATTCCTACCGTCAGAGTGAGATTGCGTCAGAAGTGAATGGGCTTGTTGAACTGTACCTCATGTTTATCTGTATTTGACTTGTGTTAGTGTGTGCATCTAATTAACCACTCCTTATACACTCTCACTTGTGGTTGAACCCAATATCTAATAAACCTGTTCTGAAGACATCAAGACTTGATCCATTGGCACCTAATAGCTCTCTACTAGTGCCCGTTCTACATGGTCCTCCCGGATCAGCCCTTTAGTATTTTTCAATTACAAAACTGCACTATTACAGGAATGCTGCACAAAACGCAAAATATCCATACTGCCCTCTTGAAGAGGGACTCATGGAACAATTTTTTAATGAGAGCTTTTTTTCTGCCCTTTATAAACACATTCATACTGAGACTGTCTCTCTGTAGCGTAAGGAGATGATTGAAGAAACATAATGTGATTGGATTAAGTAATTCAAAGACCCCTGGCCCTAACAATATTATATAGGCTTATAGGTCTGTTGACCAAAAATGTTGGGCTGTAACAAACTGAAGTAAAACCATGACAGATCATCAGAACAATGATCTGTAAATAACTGACCAGCTAAATTACCAGCTAAATGCAATACCCTTTACATGTTTATTTATTGATTTAATACCCTAGGCCTAGACCTAGCTCTAGTTTAGATCCCTGTAATATGGATATCTTCCATACAGGGTTCTAGTGCAATGCGCCCAGAAGAGTGTAATGCCACTACATGAGTTACTTTATAAGTCGATACTTGTAAGAATGTACATTCCTTAATGATTTCCTTCTACCTATGTTAGTCCTGTGTAAATGCTGGCTTTTCTTTGGGTGCTGAAATAAAATAAAAACTTCATTTTATGTGACGTCTGTCAAACTGCTCCTTGTAATCTACTGTGTTACAATGGAGTAGGAAGTTACGACTCAAGCGCGCACTACCACTCAATACTTTCATAAATATCCATTCTTAAACGCTTAGGGCCTTCTGTGTACCTTTGCTTGTCCTGATTGTTATAGAGTTGTCATTTCGATTTGGAATCCATCATTTTTTATATATAAAATATATTTTATGCATCCCCTGCCCAAACAAAAAAATCTGCTGTGCAATGATGGGCTGCTCCTCTGTTAACAAACAATGGCTACCTTGGCAGGGGTCATGTAAAATGCTACTTTTATCAAAAACTTCGGATTTCAGCACACAAACATAGGTACAAGGGAAGCACGTTTTTTTTTTTTTACAAGTATCTATGGATAGCGACTCGATGTAGTTGGAGGTAGTTCGCCCAGACTCATTGCAACTCAACTCCCATCAAGATGCATATATCATGGAGTTGAGTATACTCCTCTGAATAATTAGGGTCTACTTTCTGCCAATTAGTGACTGACAAAAGTTTTACATTTATCAATAAAAAATGGCTGCTCCATCCATATGATTTGTTATGATGTAATTATCCATCCCAAAATTGTACCTCTGTAATGGTAAGCAATATAACGAGTCCATTTGTAGCCCAAACTATAGTCGTCCACTTTCAACCTTCCACATGCAAGCACCGGGGCACGCACCGCCATCTTCTTCTAAACCATGGGATGGACATGCCAATGATGCCTGGCTTTGCAATTTAGCCTACGTGTTTTAAATGTTACAAGGCTGTTTAATTTCAGTGTAGTCTGGTCTTATGCTATGCTATATGTTGACCTTTGTGATATCCAGTGCTTGACTTGAACAGGAGCTCACCGGAGCTGAGTACCGGCACCTCAAATGTTCTACTGCTTGAGCTCCTGTTCATCTTATAGAATGTTAGCTCAAAAGTATTGTGGAGCTCCTGCATCTAAATCGAATCAGTACCAGCACCCAAAATGAGTACAGGAACGTATTTCAGTCCAAGTCTAGCCCTGGTGATATCCATATGGTCAGGTGATTTTTCCGTCGTGCTCGAGGCCCTTTATAGCCTACGACTGGTTTTCCCTGGTCGGGCAACGTGGTCGAGACCTCTTGCCCTCATACTGCACATAAAGTTAGAGCCGATCAACCGAAGTCAACCGAAGTCATCAACAGGACATTACGCACAAGCTTTTAACAGTGTTTCCATAAATCGCCGCGCAAATGCCATTATCGAAATGCGAATAAAATACAATTGTATAATTTTGCACAATTTCAACATCTGGGCCTTGCCTTTTTTTAAACTCTAGCTACCATTGTATGTATAGCCATATGGGACGTCCCCTTTTCGTACAGTCCGCCAATCAGAATAGCCAGGTTGGAGAGACGTCATCGGAGAGTATGGGGGAAGAAGCCCGTGGTTCTCCAACGGGGTGGCAGTCTACCGGGAAGAACGACAACAAAGGTAGGTGACCCATGATTCATATTTTAAAGGCACTAGTTATCATTCTCCACTGTACGATTTCGCGTGCGCCAGGACACGAATGGTGACACTATGATTACGTGTATATTTCTTATTTATAGCCAACATTGTGTATGCCTATTGGTCTACAACCACCTATTAACAAAAGCACAACGACTGGTTAACACAAAAGACAAGTCAACAGCCTAGGAACCGGTGTTCTTACTCCTTTGTTACTGTATTTGATCATACAATGTCAGTAGAAGTAATGCCCTGTCTTTTATAATTAATAGGCCTACAGTATTTGTTTACATGTCTGTTTGGGGACATTAGATGGCAATGCTGAAGTACAGTAGTGGTCCTCTGTAGCTCAGCTGGTAGAGCACGGCGCTTGAAACGCCAAGGTAGTGGGTTCGATCCCCGGGACCACCCATACACAAAAATGTATGCACGCATGACTGTAAGTCGCTTTGGATAAAAGCGTCTGCTAAATGGCTTATTATATTATTATGTTTTGGATTACCCACCAGTATAAAGGCAACAGTTTTGTTGACAATAGAGGCTAGGCTACAGTATTACCATATCCTGAGCTGCAGTGTGCATGTTAGGCAATTTGTTACAAATAGCAAAATGGAAAGATGCCGGCATCTACTTTGTGGTAGGCCTACCACGACTGTCACACTTTGTCAAGAAATGCAACACGTCATAACCTGTATCGGAGAAAATATGAAGAAAAGACTGCTCTGCTCTTCCTTTGCATGAAACATTCGCGGCAAAAATTACCCCGCGAGAGTTCTTTATACATATTGGAAGGGGGAGGAGAAATGAAACCAGCTGTTGGTTGTCATTAGTTACCACAGCCACAAAGACAAAATTGGCTATATCTTAAAAATGCATAAAAACTTCATTTAAGGTTACGTTTAGGCATAGGGTTAGCAGTGTGGTTCAGGCTAGGGTTAGGTTTAAAATCCAATTTTAAGAAGATCAATTGTAGAAAGAGGCGGTGTTTAGCCATGATTAGGACTGTGGCTGTGGTAACTAGTGATGACCCAGCGTGTCGAACTCAGAACTGACGGAGAAAGGGAAAACAATGTGGTTTGCACATTTTGCAAACGCGTGTCTACAATAGTCGCCCATGGATGGGATCATTTGACTTCGCCTATGTAACACCCATATACTTACACAATAATTAAACCTAATAAACTACCCGTTGCGTTTGGCAGTTTCCCTTTTCCGAGTCCTTCAGTCTTATAATGAACCCCTAAAGGGGTCGGTTTTATATTGTACAACCATTAGGCCTTTATGAAGGATAGCCTAATATTACTGAAATAAGTTAAAGCAGGATTGATTTGTCGAAGAACTATCCTTTGACTATTGCCACACAACAACAAAAAGTCAAGCAGCCCTTTCTCTTTAGAACAAAAGATTGAGCGACCTCATCCATTGGTCGGTTGTCTACCCCAATACCCCATGCTGCCCCCTGAAGCAGAACAGGGTTGGTTTAATTATGGGATAGGCATGTCAGTTGTTATGACAACATAGAGCTTTTGACCTTCCTGTGAAGGAGTGGTCCCCATCTTCTTTTTGCCTGATTGGGGGCTGTTATGGCTTCAGATATAATAATAATAATAATATAATATGCCATTTAGCAGACGCTTTTATCCAAAGCGACTTACAGTCATGCGTGCATACATTTTTTTGTGTATGGGTAGTCCCGGGGATCGAACCCACTACCTTGGCGTTACAAGCGCCGTGCTCTACCAGCTGAGCTACAGAGGACCACATGACAGATATACTATTGTCAAGAAAAACGTGACACTGGTAATTACAAATTTGACCCAAGAAAATATAGGCTTAAATACAGAAGGATTGTCATTTAGTTGTTGGTGTATAATATTTGAAACCAGTACTTTTATTCAAATTATTACAGAGGTGCAAATGTTATATTTGAAATAAATGCTATGATTTCCATGTGAAATGTCTCTGTTTTGTGTCATTTTTTAGATAACAGAAAAATGGCGACAAATGTGGACCTGGACCAGACCAAAGATGCCACTGCAGAGAAATGCAGCCGTTTCGAACTGCTGGACTGGCTCAATAAGACCCTGGACATCAAATTCACCAGGGTGGAGCAGATATGTTCAGGTACTGTCTCACTAGGTCACACAGCTTCATTGCTATGCTATAACAAGAATCCTAGAGCTGTCTACAATGCTTTTATCACATATACAAATGCAGACTCCTGACACTTAGTGGACAGGTACCTTTCTCTCTAATGACTGATGAAAAGCACATGTTTCACTATAGCAGGGGTCTCCACTCATTTCTAGCATGAGAGCTACTTTAAAAAAATGAAACATGTTGTGATCTACACATTTTTTCCTAGCTTTCAAATAGGCACATTCTTCTCTCCCCTGCAAACTCTTCCGGAGGTCCTTAGTGTACAAGAGAAAGTAGTGCACTATGTTTTCTGCCATTATACCTGGTAAAATAATTGTTAATAGACAACTCTAAGGGGGCCCCTATAAAATCTATGATTTCCCCCCCCAAATTCTGTTGTATATTTTCCCAAATTCTGTTCTCAGTTATTTTTCACTCTTAAAATTACAATTGTTCATAGAGAAACAACGAAATTGGATGTTCTGAGTCCATGTCAATGCTTAACCCATAAGAGTTTAATCCCTGTCTAAGCCTGGGGGGGGGGGGGGTACAAACGCATTGAAGAACATATTCACTACATGGAACAACAGATAGTCCCCCAAAAAAATCGAAAGGAAGTTTGTTCTGAAGTGTCTGTCATATATCTGAGAGATATAAGAAAAACCAGGAAACATTTGTAATTTTTGTACATGTATTTACGCCCTTATTTTTGTCATTAAACAGTATCCATATACTGTATAGTTCCATACATTTTTCCGACTGGTACCGTGGGACCAGTCTTGTGAGGCCTGTGCTACAGACATAAGTTGGCAGATCGGCTGTACCGACTTCAGACGAGTCCCAAGATGCTTGTTGGAGTCGTAGAGCAAAACGGAGAACACCACCGTGTTCGTGTGAGTCTGTGGGCGTCCTAGAGCAAAACACCTTTACATAGAGGTGTCATAATGTTTTTGTAGGCCAAACCGTTCGGACGCTACAGACGATTTTGTGAGAAAAACGGTTTTCGGGATGTCTCATGGTCTGACAAACACTGCTCTAGCTCTGTCACCTTTCTCCGCAGATGCGGAAGTGTTACGTAGGCGGATGCAGTGGATTATCTCAAGCTTAAACTGACAGATTTTATGGGGATGTTTTTATAATACTAATTAGATTTCCGCGGGGTGCGGACATCAACCTTAGGGGGTTAAATCACATCAGAAGACACATTTTTTTAGGTCTGGAAGAACATTTTAACACATTTTGATTGTTTTGTGTAATTCCCCTTTAACTGCGCATCTAGCGAACGAGGAATGTGCCGTCTAATGAACGGGTCTAGCGATGGTTCTGTACTGCTGCTGCTCATTTCATGGCAAAGTTTGCAAATAACCACTACAGTTAACAAAAATATAAACGCAACATGTAGGTTGGTCCCATGTTTCATGAGCTGAAATAAAAGATCCCCAAATGTTTCCATTTGCACCTAAAAAAATGGTCTCTCAAATTTTGTGCACAATTTTATTTACATCCCTGTTAGTGAGCATTTCTCCTTTGCCAAGATAATCCATCCACCTGACAGGTGTGGCATATCAAGAAGCTGATTCAACAGCATGATCATTACACAGGTGCACCTTGTGCTGGGGACAATAAAATGCCACTCTAAAATATGCAGTTTTGTCACACAACACAGATGTCTCAAGTTTTAAGGGAGTGTGCAATTGGAATGCTCACCGCAGGAATGTCCACCAGAGCTGTTGCCAGAGAATTGAATGTTCATTTCTCTACAATAAGCCGCCTCCAACGTTGGTTTAGAGAATGTGGCCGTATGTCCAACCGGCTTCACGACCACAGACCACGTGTATGGTATCGTGTGGGCAAACGGTTTTCTGATGTCAACATTGTGAACAAAGTGCCCCATGATGGCGGTGGGGTTATGGTATGGGCAGGCATAAGCTATGAACACAATTGCATTTTATCGATGGCTATTTGAATGCACATAGATACCATGACGAGATCCTGGGGCCCATTGTCGTGCCATTCATCCGCCGCCATCACCTCATGTTTCAGCATGATAATGCATGGCCCCATGTCACAAGGATCTGTACACAATTCCTGGAAGCTGAAAATTTCCCAGTTCTTCCATGGCCTGCATACCAACCAGACATGTCTCCCATTGAGCATGTTTGGGATGCTCTGGATCGACGTGTATGACAGCGTATTCCAGTTCCCGCTAATATCCAGCAACTTCAGACAGCCATTGAAGAGGAGTGGGACAACATTCCACAAGCCACAATCAACAGCCTGATCAAATCTATGCGAAGGAGATGTCGCTCTGCATGAGTCAAATAGTAGTCACACCAGATACTGACTGGTTTTCTGATCCACACCCCTACTTTTTTTTAAAGGTATCTGTGACCAACAGATGCATATCTGTATTCCCAGTCATGTGAAATCCATAGATTAGGGCCTAATTTATTTATTTCAATTGACTGATTTCCTTATATGAACTGCATGTTGCATTTATATTTTTGTTCAGTATAATAGATAGAAATGATATCAATACTCATGATATACTTCTGCCAGGCAAGCCTACTTTGCAGTTAACATTTAATTGAGAAGGTTTTGGGGTAAGTATTTATGTCAACCCACAAGACGGTTATCACATCAAGTTATCACGGAGTGATAAACAAACGCGTGCACCACACCGACAGACAGGGGCAATATTGCTGGAAATTAATTGGCAGATATTGTGTTAGGTTTGTCTTTTTAAGCCAACAGTGGCTAACCAGGGGTGGGATAATGTCAATGTTGTGTTGATTAGATAGTAGCTGGGAGCTTGCAGTGTCTGATACTTGTGAGATTTGTTTATGACAGTTTGCGGTGGAACATGTGAAAATTGCATGTACTTTCAGAATTGTTACTTATAAGTGAGTGGGCTGCGAGCTACTGGTAGCTTGTGATTGACCTGTTGGAGACTACAGCCTATTCTGTCCTGCTCTCCCTCGTTACTAGAGAGCCTTAAACGTCTATTGTGTGTGTGTGGTGTGCAGGTTCCTGCTACTGCCAGCTGATGGACTGGATCTTTCCTGGGTGCATCAACCTGAGCACAGTGAAGTTCCAGGCCCAGGACATGCCAGACTTCCTCCACAACTACAATCTGCTCCAAGCTGGCTTCGACAAGACTGGTGTCACCAAGGTTAGACTACACCCCATTTTGTCTCTGAAAATAAATGACTTACACCCATAGCTTTTTGTCCATTACATTTAAGTCAATGATCTTTTTTATTGTATGTTAATATTTTATATATGAGCAGAGATTTCTCCTTTTGTTTCTATGTGGTATTTGCTTATTGTTCTAAATCCCTCCCCTTTAGTTTGTTCCAGTGGAGGAGCTGATAAACGGAAAGTTCCAGCCCAACTTCGTATTCCTGAAGTGGTTCAAGAGGTTTTTCCGGGCTAACCTGGCAGGGCAGGTGTATAACCCTGTAGAGGCTCGCCAGGGCCAGGACATCCAGCCTGCCAGATCCCGCTTCCGCTCCCCTCAGAGACTTGACCTCAAAGGCCGCAATTCTGCCAGGCGCAGCTCCAGTCAATCAGGTGTTCATTATTTTACTTATCATGGGTTGAAATATTATTTGTGCTGTTTATGACCTTATATTCAAGATAGATTATTGTTGATCTTTTTGTGTTAATCAATTTGTGCTTTCCTATTTTTCGCGACAGGGGGGTTGGAAACCGACACAGATGAAGAAGCTTTAGGGAAGTATCAAAGGAAACGTATTATTTATGAGGATATATGGAGGGAGACTTACTCCTGGGTGGGGCCCAGCACTCTGGGAGAGATCTATGCCTACTGCAGTCTGTGCGACCTGAACCTCAACATCTATCACTCAGGCCTGTTGGACCTGAAGCGTCACTCACAGTCCAAGAAGCACCGCAAGCTTTCCCTGGCTGCCAGTGATGGCACCCTAACGCCAGAGTCAGGAAAAAGCAGACAGGGCAGCTGCAGCGACCCTCCGCCCTGTAGTGAGTTGGTCATGCGCTTCATTCAAGCCAACTGTGTCTCTGGTCCCTCCGCGGCTGGGGACCAAGTGTCTAACAGATACGGCCAGTATGTCCTGGGACTACAGTACCCAGAGGACATAGTGTCTGCCTGCCAAAAGACTCCTTACTGCATATACATGTACGGAGGAGTGGTGCTAGGGCAGGCTGACATGGCTTCTGTAGTTCTAGTGGGGTATTTTGATGTGAAGGCAGCCAGGCACTGCATCAGGCTGTTGGATGTTCTGCAGCCTCCAGGTGATGACAATGCTGGAGACAAAACAGCTGCAGCTCTGGTGGAGACCATGGAGAGGTTTGGGCTTCCTGCAGCTAACCTCGCTGCTCTCTACTCAGATGGTAATGGTTCTGCCTCGGAGCCAATTTTCTCACAGCTCAGGGAACTCAACCCCAATGTGGTGGTGCTAGGTGGGCTGTATGGAGTGGCTGATGCAGCCTGCCATGCTGGAGTGGCGGAGCTCTCCACTCAGGCCCAGGAGCTAATTGTCGATATCTACTCCCACTACTCCTCCTGCTCCACCAAGGATGACAACCTGAAGGAACTGTTTTCCCGCATTAGCAGTGGCCTCACCCTTCCCCTCACCACCTGCTGCCTTAACTTCTGCATGTTAGTCAGGAAGGTTTTGGGAAAGTGGACCGATCTCATCTCCCACTTCAGCTCCTGTAACAAAAAGGATGACATAGATAACAAGGCCAAGCTGATCTGCACACAGCTGCAGGATCCCAAACTCAGGGCTATCTTCATGTTTCTGGACCAGGCCCTAGAGCCCCTCCGTGTCTTCCAGGAGCGACTGCATCACCATGAGGGCTCAGCCCGGGCCGACTTGGTGCAGATCCTACAGGACGCCAGCGGCCTCCTGCGCTCCTATGCCTCCAGTTTCCTCCGTCCTCAAGCCGTTGTGCGCTTCCTCAAGGAACGTGACACCTTTCTCCTCAAGACCACAACGTTCCACCTGCCAGGGGCGGAGCTGAATGTGGGCGGGGCTGCAGTGGAGGACTTCCTGTGTGAGTCATCAGAGAAAGGAAGTGAAGCCCTGCAGTTGTTACAGGAACAGGCTCTGTCGTTCTACACAGCGCTCACAGCCAGCGTGGCGGAGGGGCTGCCTCTGAGTGACGGCGTGTTGAGGAGCATGGCCCAGCTACTGAGCCCTCAGGGCAGGCTGAAGGTCACGGGGAAGGCTGTGGGAGATCTGGGGGCCAAACTGGGGCTCTGCAGCTCACCTGAGGAGATCAGCCAGCTAAACAAGGAGTTCCTGGAATATCAGCTGGGAGAGGAGGACGAGGGAGAAAACGGATGTGATGGAGGGGTCCAGAATGGCTCGGCAGCACCCTCACTGGAGCAACATTGGAGCACTGTGCTGAAGGCTTCTGGGTCGACCACCATCTTCAGGAAACTTGTTTTGACCCTCTTAGCCATGCCCTGCCCCCCACTTGAAGCTCAGAAGGTCTTCACACAGGTATGTGTAGACAAAAAGCGTCACACACTTGTATGTCACTGCATGCCTGCATGGAAGTTATTGCATTGGTACAGTCCCATTTATGTACAGTACCAGTCAAAAGTTTGGACACACCTACTCATTCAAGGGTTTTTCTTTGTGACGACATAAACTATGAAATCATGGAGTAACCAAAAAAGTGATAAACAAATCAAAATATATTTTATATTTGAGATTCTTCAAAGTAGCCACCCTTTGCCTTGATGACAGCTTTGCACACTTTTGGCATTCTCTCAACCAGCTTCATGAGGTAGTCACCTGGAATACATTTCAATTAACAGGTGTGCCTTCTTTAAAGTTAATTTGTGGAATTTATTTCCTTCTTAATGCGTTTGAGCCAATCAGTTGTGTTGTGACAAGGTGTGTGGGGGGGAGGGGGGATAGCCCTATTTGGTAAAAGACCAAGTCCATATTATGGCAAGAACAACTCAAATAAGCAAAGAGAAACGACAGTCCATAATTACTTTAAGACACGAAGGTCAGTCAATACTGAACATTTCAGGAACTTTGAAAGTTTCTTCAAGTGCAGTCACAAAAACCATATTGCGCTATGATGAAACTGGATCTCATGAGGACCACCACAGGAATGGAAGACTCAGAGTTACCTCTGCTGCAGAGGATAAGTTCATTAGAGTTACCAGCCTCAGAAATTGCAGCACAAATAAATGCTTCACAGAGTTCAAGTAACAGACACATCTCAACATCAACTGTTCAGAGGGGACTGTGTGAATCAGGCATTAATGGTCGAATTGCTGCAAAGAAACCACTACTAAAGGACACCAATAAGAAGAAGAGACCTGCTTGGGCCAAGAAACACGATCAATGGACATTAGACCGGTGGAAATTTGTCCTTTGGTCTGGAGTCCAAATGTAAGATTTTTGGTTGAAACCGCTGTGTCTTTGTGAGACGCGGTGTGGGTGAACGGATGATCTCTGCATGTGTAGTTCCCACCGTAAAGCATGGAGGAGGAGGAGGTGTTATGGTGCTTTGCTGGTGACACTGTCAGTGATTTATTTAGAATTCAAGGCACACTTAACCAGCATGGCTACCACAGCATTCTGCAGTGATACGCCATCCCATCTGGTTTGGGCTTAGTGGGACTATAATTTGTTTTTCAACAGGACAACGACCCAACAGACCTCCAGGCTGTGTAAGGGCTACTTTACCAAGAAGGAGAGTGATGGAGTGCTGCATCAGATGACCTGGCCTCCACAATCACCCGACCTCAACCCAATTGAGATGGTTTGGGATGAGTCGGACGGCAGAGTGAAGGAAAAGCAGCCAACAAGTGCTCAGCATATGTGGGAACTCCTTCAAGACTTTTGGAAAAGCATTCCAGGTGAAACTGGTTGAGAGAATGCCAAGAGTGTGCAAAGCTGTCATCAAGGCAAAGGGTGGCTACTTTGAAGAATCTCAAATATAAAATATATTTTGATTTGGTTACTACATGATTCCATATGTGTTATTTCATAGTTTTGATGTCTTCACTATTATTCTATAATGTAGAAAATAGTAAAAATAAAGAAAAACCCTTGAATGAGTAGGTGTGTCCAAACTTTTGACATTTTGTTACGTTACAGCCTTAATGTAAAATTGATTAAATAAAAACATTTCCTCTACAATCTACACACAATACCCCATAATGACAAAGCTAAAACAGGTTTTTAGAATTTTTTTGAAATGTATTCAAACAAAAAAAGAGAAATACCTTATTTACATAAGTAGACTCAAAATTGAGCTCAGGTGCATCCTGTTTCCATTGATCATCCTTTAGATGTTTCTACGACTTTGATTGGAGTCCACCTGTGGTAAATTCAATTGATTGGACAGGATTTGGAAAGGCACACACCTGTCTATATAAGGTCCCACAGTTGACAGTGCATGTCAGAGCAAAAACCAAGCCATGAGGACGAAGGAATTGTCCGTAGAGCTCCGAGACAGGATTGTGTCGAGGCACAGATCTGTGGAAGGGTACCAAAACATTTCTTTAGCATTGAAGGTCCCCAAGAACACAGTGGCCTCCATCATTCTGAAATGGAAGAAGTTTGGAACCATGAAGACACTTGCTAGAGCTGGCCGCCTGGCCAAACTGAGCAATCGGGGGAGAAGGGCCTTGGTCAAGTTCCTCTGTGGAGATGGGAGAACCTTCCACAAGGACAACCATCTCTGCAGCACTCCACCATCTCTGCAGCACTCCACCAATCAGGCCTTTATGGTAGAGTGGCCAGACGGAAGCCACTCCTCAGTAAAAGGCACATGACAACCCACTTGGAGTTTGCTAAAAGGCACCTAAAGACTCTCAGACCATGAGAAACAAGATTCTCTGTTATGATGAAACCAAGATTGAACTCTTTGGCCTGAATGCCAAGCGTCACGTCTGGAGGAAACCTGGCACCATCCCTAAGATGAAGCATTGTTGTGGCAGCATCATGCTGTGGGGATGTTTTTCAGCGGCAGGGATACTAGTCTAGTCAGGATCAAGGCAAAGATGAACGGAGCAAAGCACAGAGAGATCCTTGATAAAAACCTGCTCCAGAGCGCTCAGGACCTCAGACTGGGGTGAAGGTACACCTTCCAACAGGACAACAACCCTAAGCACACAGCCAAGACAACGCAGGAGTGGCTTCGGGACAAATCTCTGAATGCCCTTGAGTGGTCCAGCCAGAGCCCGGACTTGAACCCGATCGAACATCTCTGGAGAGACCTGAAAATAGCTGTGCAGCAACGCTCCCCATCCAACCTGACAGAGCTTGAGAGGATCTGCAGAGAAGAATGGGAGAAACTCCCCAAATACAGGTGTGCCAAGCTTGTAGCGTCATACCCAAGAAGACTCGAGGCTGTAATCGCTGCCAAAGGTGCTTCAACAAAGTACTGAGTAAAGGGTCTGAATACTTATGTAAATGTTATATTTCCGTTCTTCAAACCTGTTTTTGCTTTGTCGTTATGGGGTATTGTGTGTAGATTGATGAGGGGAGAAAAAACAATTTCCTCAATTTTAGAATAAGGCTGAAACCTAACAAAATGTGGAAAAAGTCAAGGGGTCTGAATACTTGTTTCTGCATCTATATTATTTGTGTCTGTCTGTGTTCTCAGGCTGTGGAGAATGGGGACGCTGCCCAGTTCACTGACAGTGTGGCAGAGAGTGAGCTGGACTCCATTCAGGAAGTAGACCTTACCAATGAACTGACCAATGACAGCACTCTCTCAGACAACAACAGTGTCAACAGGGTTGGCAGGAAGAAGAAAGGTCATGGTCATTCTAGAAAGATTCCATCAGGTAAGTTATTTAATTAGGGGACTGGGATAGGAATATAATAGAAAGTGTTAATATAATGATAATAATTAAGTGTATTAGTAATGTATTGAGTAGCGCCCACAAGAGCACTCAAATGCTTTTTTTAGGGTACAGCTCCATTTTGGGTTAGCATTAGTTTGTGTGTGTACCGGTAAGCAGTTTATCAGGTGGATTAGCACATGAAAGGGTTAGCTTTAATGGGTTGAGTTGCTCAGGATGGAGGCAGCTTTCCAATGTTGGGGTATGTTAGTGTAGCATGAGCATGCTTCAGGTTTGCATTTCTGGATAGTCTTATAGAAGGTTTGTTGTGTAAGTTTAACAGACAGACTAGACAGATGTATATTTCTAGTGGGAAATCATTATTGTTATTTACATGTATTGTTATTTAAAGGTGATGGTATTATTAGAGAGGGGTATCTATCAACATGCCATACCATTGGTTGAGTTAGCTGTAATTGTATGCTTCTCATTTTAATTTGAAAACGTGTGCATGCAAATACCCTGACATGGGCACTGTCACACATTAGAAACCATTTGTCATCATCTCTGCATGTGTGTGGTGCCATTAGCATTGTCTGGTATGCACAAGCCTTGAGAGCAAAAGTGCATTTTGACATGACACCCTACACAGCACCAAAATGGCTACAAATCAAATGGCTACAAATCGAATCATATAATATTGTAGTCGTGATGGCGCATTACAGTAGTATATGGGTTGTAATCTTACACTGTCCATTGATTCTCTCAGTGTTTCACATACTTCTATCACAGGATCCCTGTTAATAATGGAAGCATCAATGTGTTGTTTTCCAGAGGTGAATTACCTTAATGGGACAGTGAAGCCATGCACAGTGCGCCTGCAGAAGATAATCAGTAAGAAAAGATATTGACAGTTACTGAAGATTATCATTGTTAATCATCAATATCACTTAAAGGGGCAATCAGCAGTTGCTACATCCATATTTGGACTTATAAATGAATGATATGTACCCATTGATTCTTGAAGAATATAACTTATAAATGCCTCATGAGCTTAGTTCAACTGTCGTACCGCATCAGAACCCAAAATATAAGCTTGTTTTACTCCAATGTTTGTAAACAAAGTAAATGTAAACAAACACTGTAAAGCCTCAAAACATGGTTAAAACTATCATTTTGATATCATGTCCTTGAATTCATAGACCTGTCTATGAATTTTAGAGTGGTTACATTTCTCCAGCCCCATCCCTCAGATTTCTACCGAAACAGTGGCAGGGACATCACTTCGTTATTGTTTCAACTGCTGATTGGCCCCTTAAAAGCCCAGTGCAGTTAATGTGACTTTCCTGTGTTTTCTATGTATTTCCACACTATGAGGTTGGAATAATACTATGAAATTGTGAAAATGATAATAATGCCCTTTAGTGTAAGAGCTGTTTGAAAAGACTGCCTGAAATTTCAGCCTGTTTTGGTTGGATGGAGTTTTGGTCTGCCTGGTGATTGAGAAATTGCTAAGAAGCTATTTTTGTTTCTTTTTGACCATTTGAATTGAAAACAATCACAGTAAGGTACTTAAGAAATGATTTGTTATTGAGATAAAAATGGCTGCATTGGACCTTTATACTCCATTTAAGTGATGTACAGGTGACACATTACCAGAGACGGTTACCAGCCTACAATCCGCCTACTGCTCTTCCATTTCAATTCAGTCAATGCAGGAAGTAACCTGAAATTCAGATTTTCCTCAATGCTTTTCAATCAAACCCTGTCTCTTTAGTTGTCTGTGCACTGTCTTTTCACCTTTGGACAATTTCAGGCAAAACGAATGTATTTTCTGCTTTAAAACATTGATTTGGTTTGATAACATTTGTGTCTGTAGATGGACCAAAGAATGAGGACAATACTGTGTTCGTTGAGGACGAGGTCATTTGGACAAATACTATGGAGGTAATGTTTTGTATTCTTTTGTTGTTGTTTTTTTTGTACAATATTTCATGTCTGGCAGGATTGGGGGAACCAATTAGACAAATATGGTAACTTAAGATTTAACTAAGAGTTATTGTTTTCTTGGGACTCATAATCAACTACGCATAACAGAGCTTCCCTGTAGAAGACGGACATATACAGTGGGGAGAACAAGTATTTGATACACTGCCGATTTTGCAGGTTTTCCTACTTACAAAGCATGTAGAGGTCTGTCATTTTTATCATAGGTACACTTCAACTGTGCGAGACGGAATCTAAAACAAAAATCCAGAAAATCACATTGTATGATTTTTAAGTAATTAATTTGCATTTTATTGCATGACATAAGTATTTGATCACCTACCAACCAGTAAGTATTCCGGCTCTCACAGACCTGTTAGTTTTTCTTTAAGAAGCCCTCCTGTTCTCCACTCATGACCTGTATAAACTGCACCTGTTTGAACTCATTACCTGTATAAAAGACACCTGTCCACACACTCAATCAAACAGACTCCAACCTCTCCACAATGGCCAAGACCAGAGAGCTGTGTAAGGCCATCAGGGATAAAATTGTAGACCTGCACAAGGCTGGGATGGGCTACAGGACAATAGGCAAGCAGCTTGGTGAGAAGGCAACAACTGTTGGCGCAATTATTAGAAAATGGAAGAAGTTCAAGATGACGGTCAATCACCCTCGGTCTGGGGCTCCATGCAAGATCTCACCTCGTGGGGCATCAATGATCATGAGGAAGGTGAGGGATCAGCCCAGAACTACGCGGCAGGACCTGTTCAATGACCTGAAGAGTGCTGGAACCACAGTCTCAAAGAACCATTAGTAACACACTATGCCGTCATGGATTAAAATCCTGCAGCGCACGCAAGGTCCCCCTGCTCAATCCAGCGCATGTCCAGACCCGTCTGAAGTTTGCCAATGACCATCTGGATGATCCAGAGGAGGAATGGGAGAAGGTCATGTGGTCTGATAAGACAAAAATAGAGCTTTTTGGTCTAAACTCCACTCGCCGTGTTTGGAGGAAGAAGAAGGATGAGTACAACCCCAAGAACACCATCCCAACCGTGAAGCATGGAGGTGGAAACATCATTCTTTGGGGATGCTTTTCTGCAAAGGGGACAGGACGACTGCACCGTATTGAGGGGAGGATGGATGGGGCCATGTATCGCGAGATCTTGGCCAACAACCTCCTTCCCTCTGTAAGAGCATTGAAGATGGGTCGTGGCTGGGTCTTCCAGCATGATAACGACCCGAAACACACAGCCAGGGCAACTAAGGAGTGGCTCCGTAAGAAGCATCTCAAGGTCCTGGAGTGGCCTAGCCAGTCTCCAGACCTGAACCCAATAGAAAATCTTTGGAGGGAGCTGAAAGTCCGTATTGCCCAGCGACAGCCCCGAAACCTGAAGGATCTGGAGAAGGTCTGTATGGAGGAGTGGGCCAAAATCCCTGCTGCAGTGTGTGCAAACCTGGTCAAGACCTACAGGAAACGTATGATCTCTGTAATTGCAAACAAAGGTTTCTGTACCAAATATTAAGTTCTGCTTTTCTGATGTATCAAATACTTATGTCATGCAATAAAATGCAAATTAATTACTTAAAAATCATACAATGTGATTTTCTGGATTTTTGTTTTAGATTCTGTCTCTCACAGTTGAAGTGTACCTATGATAAAAACTACTGACCTCTACATGCTTTGTAAGTAGGAAAACCTGCAAAATCGGCAGTGTATCAAATACTTGTTCTCCCCACTGTATGTTGTAGCCTATGTTTGTTTTTAACATGTTCTTACCTTGCTGTAGTGGGGGTGTGACACATGAAACCCCAAATAAACTGCATGTGACAACACCTGACAATGGAAACAATATCATTCTTTCAACTCAAACAAACCAAAGCGTGCATGGATCTTTTGTGTGCATGGATCATGGATGTATCCAAATCTTGACATTATGGTAAACTTATCTTTACAGGCCTTGTTAAATAGAGGTCAGCAGTATGCTTAACTCTGCTGTTGCTTGTCCAATCAACCATTCTCTAAGATTTTACATTCTTTGAATTCAAAAGCCTTAAACTATGCCTAGAATAAGTGCATGCCAGCTTTTCACCCTTGTCTAACTAACCTTATCAGTAAATCTTTCTATTTTTTCTCTCATGTGGGTATGCTTTATGGTTCGTAGTAGTGGGCTAGTGGCAATTATTGGATGTGAGAAGGTGTGTGTGAGTGCTTGAATGCGTAAATGAGTGCGGGTTTGTGTGTGTGTGTGAGCTTGTGCATGTGTGCACATGTACAGTGTATATGTGTAATGCGTGTGTGTGCATGTGTATTGTCCCTCAGGGCACCATTAGGGGCATTTATGGCTGGGAGAGCAGCTTACGCCAGAAGCCACAGGCGAGAACTGTATTTCAGGCTGGTGCCGGCGCCTGGGCCAAGCCACAGGTTCTTGACAACGACAGCAAAAAGGACCAGGAGTCCGAGGCTGCGTCGGTAGGTACTCTCAGAGCTCCTACCTGTGATGGCTGGTGAGCGGAGATACCTGAGGACAGGCTCATTGTAATGGCTACAGTATCAAACACATGGATTCATTCCATTCCAGCCATTACAATGAGCCCATCCTCCTATATCTTCACCCACCAGCCTGTAGGAGAGTCCCTCTAACCTCTGGTAATTGGGACAGTGAAAGGTGCAGTACTGTCAAAACAAGAAAACGTATATTTCCTTAGAAAGGTGTGCGTGGCTGTCATTGGCACATCATTATTTCTGTGCATGGCTCTTGTGATTCGACTTCTAACATTCTGATTTCCCTTCTAACACTTTTTATGGACTTGGTGGTCTCCCATTTCCTCACCTCTATCATTCTCACTACTCTGAAATTGTGCACCATGGTCTGCTGGATTGGGTCGCTTAAAGAAATGCTGACAACCTGACAAACCAAGCAAAGTACCAGAGTAGCGTATTACATGTAAAAAAGGATATATCCAATTGTAGTCACCCATAAGACAACCTTTCAAGTGTCTTTGTTTACATTTTCAGGTTCATCAGAAATCCGTGAATGTGTTCGTCACTGTCTTCAAACATGGCATTGTCAACTATTTTATCTGTGTATTCAAGCATAAATATTATTGATTTTCAGCCCCTGAAGAATGAGAATCAAACATCAACATCCAATGTGTCTACACCGAGTCCCAGGGCAGCAAAGAAGGCCGTTGATTACCAGGTTCCTACTTTCACGACAATTAGTATCACAAATATTTGCTATGCATGCCAACATGCTTCCTTATCATGTAAACCCATGTGAATAACCCTCCATCTCCCTGGGTCTCACCCTGTAGGATGGGAAGGGTTTCCCCATTGGAGAGCTGGTGTGGGGAAAGGTGAAGGGCTTCTCCTGGTGGCCTGGACTGGTAGTGCTCTGGAAGTCCAACAAGACACCGCCTGTATCCATGCGCCGGGTAGAGTGGTTCGGAGACAGCATGTTTTCCGAGGTGAGGACTTGGCTTGACTCGTTGTAAATAACAAGATTGATCTGCAGAATAGATTGATGTTTGATCTGAATCCTTCCTTTGTTTTGTGTTTCAGATCTATACAGAGAGGCTTCTGCATTTTGCAGCTTTCGCAAAGTGCTTCTGCAAGAATTCCTATGCCAGCTTGCCCACCTACAAAGATGCCATCTACCAGGTCCTTGAGGTAGGACTGGAATTATTTTATCACTGTATAACATTCTATTGTAAAGCTCCGTACATCACTGTTTGTTACCTTAACATATATATATCACAATATTCCATACTGTATAATACCACAAAGCACCACATCACTCATTCACCACTCATATTTCATGTCTATGCAGTTGGCTGGTGAACGCTGTGGGAAGTCCTTTCTTGCAGCGGGGAATAAGCAAGAGGAGCTTAAGTTGATGCTGGACTGGGCCCACAGTGGATTCCAGCCCACTGGACCAGATGGGTTCAACCCCCCACCTCCTGCAGGTATGTGTGGTTTAGGGTGAAGTTGCTCCTAGATGCTGATCTCCTCACAAATGGTTAAAGTTAGGATTGGGGGAGGGGAAGCTGATCCAAGATCTGTTAGGGGGAGGGGAAGCTGATCCAAGATCTGTTAGGGGGAGGGGAAGCTGATCCAAGATCTGTACCTAGGTGAAACTTCACCCCGTAGCGCTTTGTGTTGCTTCCATTATATTTCCACAACAGGGTAACACTTATTCCTGTGTAGTAACACTGTAATTACACTTGTATTAGCAGGTAATCTCAGTTTCCTTTTGTTTTGTTTCATTCCCAAATATGCCAAAGTTTCGAAGGCAGAATCTTCAGACTCGCCTCTGTCAGACTACCAGCCCCCAGCTAAGAGGAAGTATGTGAACAAGAACAGACCATCCTATGGGAATCAGGGCTACAGCAGAGGTAAGTCCTATACCCACCGCAATCCATATTAATTCATAAGAGGGCAGTTATTTTAGTTACTCTGTCACTAAATAATTATAGTTACATCATTTCAATTCCTTTTTTGTTGTTCACAGAGGCAATGGTACAAGAGGTTATGAAAGGCAAGAAAATTGAAGGTATTTCGATTTCTTTCCACTATAATTGTGCTTTCTTGATCTGTATTTCTCTGCACTGATGGCATATAATGGAATCAGTAATTTTACTAATGTATACAATTAATTATTGTATCACCACAGAATTCTGTTTATCATGTGGAAGCCCCCACATCCACACCTTCCACCCACTGTTTGAAGGGAGTCTCTGCCAGAAGTGTAAGGTAAACTAACTACATCTTCTCATTCATTTAATGACTGTTCAGTTAATTTATGTAAATGTATTCACATAGACATGTTAAATCATGTCTGCTTATCATTTGAAAGATTGTTGACATTAATTACCCTCGTCCCCATGGTAAAGCTGTCCCTTGTAACCTTTACAGGAGAACTTTATTGAGACTTTGTACAGATACGATGAAGATGGCTACCAGTCCTACTGCACGGTTTGTTGTGCTGGCCAAGAGGTCATTCTGTGTGGCAATGCCAGCTGCTGCAGGTAAGCACTGCTCAAGAGTAAACTTTCCCCTCTCTCTTCTTTCATTCCCATTTCCTCTTTTACATGCATATCCTCTCTGTCGTTCTCTCGCTCTTCCTCTCTCAGGTGTTTCTGTAAGGACTGCCTGAACATTTTGGTTGGCGATGGAACCTTTAACAAGCTGAAGGATGTGGACCCATGGAGATGCTTCATGTGCTTACCATCCCAGTGCAACGGATCACTCAAGCTGCGGCCTGACTGGAACATGCGTGTTCAAGAGTTCTTCGTCAACAACAGTGCCCTCGAATTTGTACCCCACAGGTTGTATCCCTCCATCCCTGCGCATCAACGCAGACCCATCCGGGTATTGTCTCTCTTTGATGGGATTGCCACAGGTTTGTACATTCTCAACATGGGCTTTCATTCTTCTTGGGGAGATTGTTACTGATGAGGGATTGTGATGTGTTTTATGAGGATGTATGCAATGGCAGGTATTTATTCTCTTATCTGACAGGTTACTGTGTGCAGAAAGGTCAGGGTTTGGTCCTTGCTGTGTCTTTTTGGTGTGGTTAATAGTGATGCGTGGCTGTGTATGACCATTGTGCTCTTGCAGGGTACCTGGTGCTCAAAGACCTGGGCTTCATCATTAAACGCTACATTGCCTCTGAGATCTGTGGGGACTCGATCGCTGTGGGTATGATCAAACACCAGGGCCAGATAGAGCATATCAACGACGTACGCACCATCACCAGGAAACATGTGAGTTCAGCATACACACACACATTCATGTTAGAACACATTACAATACACATACACACTCCTATGGTCATTCTCTACAAAAAGGTGCTATCTAGAACCTAAAAGGGTTCTCCAGCTGTCCCCATAGGAGAACCCTTTGAAGAACCCTTTTTGGTTCCAGATAGAACCAGTTTGGTTCCAGGTAGAACCCTATTGGGTTCCATGTAGAACCCTTTCCTTTTGGAACCCTTTTTTCTAAGAGTGTAACCTGTGTGTGTCTGTGTGTTTGCTTTAGCTGGCTGAATGGGGTCCCTTTGACCTCCTGATTGGAGGAAGCCCCTGCAATGACCTGTCCTGCGTCAACCCTGCTCGGAAGGGCTTATTTGGTAAGGAACCTCTACTTCTACTAGACAATGTAGAGAGCAAATGTCTGAAGAACCTTATCCAGTCTGTTTTCACATCGTTTTATCAGCAGTTAACAGAGTAGCCTACTGTTACATGTACATGCTTACCTTTCCATTGACCTAGTAAATGTGTTTGTTTGGGTTTTAATGGTCGTCTCTGTTTCCAGAGGGTACAGGCAGGCTGTTCTTTGAATATTACAGGATGCTGACCATGATGAGGCCAAGGGAAGATGATGATCGTCCATTCTTCTGGCTCTTTGAAAATGTGGTGGCCATGAGTGGTCATGACAAGGCCGACATCTGTCGCTTCCTTGAGGTAAAGATACTAGCTATTTAAAGAAAGAAAGAAAAAGAAGCCGAAATGTCATGGTCAATGAGGCCTGTCTCGCTCTCCTTCTTTCACTCTCTCCCTCTTTCTCACTCTCTCTGGTCAATACATTTGGCTGTATGTTTGCGTATTCATTTCATAATTACTAATAATCTCATATTTTTCCAGTGCAATCCCATCCTGATCGATGCAGTAAAAGTGAGCCCAGCTCACAGAGCTCGCTACTTCTGGGGGAACCTCCCAGGCATGAACAGGTAAACATATATACAACTAACACATAGACACATCCCCATACACCTACACACTCCTACTGATAAACACTAACACATGCACTCTCAATATCTTGTTGTTTTTCTTATGTTCAACTCATCTATATGAAGTGAAATGACTTTATGATGGTCTCGCAGAGAGTTCACTCGTCTGTATGTGTTTCTCTCCTTAGACCTCTAGCTACCTCTCTGGATGACAAGGTGAACCTGCAGGATTGTCTGGAGCTTGGACGCACGGCCAAGGTAACACTAATAAGGTCTTGCTTCTAGATTGTTTTATAATTTAGTTGAGCCATAAATACTTCACTGGCAAGAGGTTGAAGTTAAAAGTTTGAAGTTCAGGTTACTTCTAATGTATATTTTCAAATGTATGAATGAGTTTCTAGCATCAGATGTGATGTCCATATTTGAAATATGGTTAAAGCTGTGATTGTTATCCGTCTGTTCTTTCCCTTATAGTATAACAAAGTTCGTACCATCACCACCAAGTCCAACTCCATCAGACAGGGGAAGATGGGACCCCTACCTGTCGACTTTAATGGCAAGGAGGACTACCTTTGGTGCACAGAGATGGAGAAGTAAGCCTTTATTATTGAGAGTAAAAGGGTAGGGGTGGACAGCATAGAATATAGAAGTGATTATAGTGTAATTACATTGTTTTAATGTGTTATAGTTACCATTATTCTTATACCATGACTGATCATGGATACTGCTCTCTCTTGTCAAAGTTAATGGTCTTAGTTAATGGAAGTTAAGTGAATGTAATTTGTAATTTCTGGTACAAATACACTTACCCTAAGGTTGTTTTGACATTGTTCTAACATTTTACACATTATGTGATTGACCTTCCTGCAGGATCTTTGGCTTTCCCAAGCATTACACTGATGTCAACAACATGGGTCGGAGCCAGCGGCAAAAAGTACTGGGCCGATCATGGAGTGTACCAGTTATCAGGCACCTCTTCGCTCCACTCAAGGACTACTTTGCCTGTGAGTAGGGACCTCACGTTCCTGTATGCTGCACTGTCGTCAACAACAACAGCCACATGAAATGGCTGATTGTTGGAGAGGGGAGGATAAAAACAGTATCATTATCCTGCCCTGCTTTTCAGTGAATGGAACTACCCTGTGTTTCTCAGACTGACCTCAGTCATCTTAGTCTTTTTGTATCACTGTCTGTATTGTCTGTTTTAATTAGTTTTTAGTTCATGAGCAGCTGTTTCAATACAGTGTGGTCATATTATCACAATATTCCCAGAATGCACTGACACTTTTTGGTTATTTCGGTTTGTCTGGAGTAGTTCACGTTTGTCTATCATTTATTTGATGTTTTGTTGACATTTGGTCAATGATGGTGAGATCAGACCTCAAACCCTGCCCACTATCTACCTCAATACTGATCTGTGATTGGTCTGACATCTGCAGTTTTATCTCTATTTAATGAATTTTTATAAATAGTCATAAAATCATATTCACTTGTAATTATATGACTGAACCTTCTAATGTTTTGTTACTTGTTTGGAAAAAAAGATCCTCCAAAAGAATTGAAAATGTGAAATTCAGATTCAAACTAAGGTAGAAAATGTGCCTTGAGTGTTTGTTTGTATTTTAACTTGGCCAATATTCACCATGGTTACTCTCTCTGTGGTGCTATAGTATGTTTCGGTTTTTAATGATAGAGGTGGTCACAGGACACGCATTTTGACTAACATTGTCTCACTTGCCATTTATAGGCTTTAATTTTGGTGATATATTCAAGCATGTGGATGCTATATATACCTGCATGCTTTTTTTCTTCAAAGAAAAAGTCGCCGAAAGCCAGTCCTAACAACTTTGATTTAAATAGTAAGATGTGTACCTTCTCCCTCTCTCTTAAGCCAATGGGGAGAGGAATGGTTGTAATCGCAAGTGCCTACTAAACAACTGTTTAAAACCCAGGTACAACACGCGTAGAACTATTTTTCTTCTGTAATTATTATTAATTCTTCAATATTTCAAAGGGATCCGGACAAAGCTCTGAGGAAAGGAGTACATCATAAACGTTGTCTCGTAATCGTTTCAGTAAAACAGACAGGCAGTGTGTAAGTGTGCATCTTTAAAGGGGGCACTTTTTGTGAAAGCAACTGTTTTAAACTGACCTTTTATGTTCTTGGGGTGTTGATGAAGGTCACATGGAGGGCCTAGTCATAAATTACCCACTTCAGTTTCATGCTTGTATTTGATGTGTACTGTTATGACCAGTAGACTGTGTTTTAAGTGATGGTTTTAACCGCAGTGTTCTGTTCATCTGTCAACAAGTTTGTTGATGATACCACAACACAACCAGCTTTCATAGAACAACTTGAAGTTATTCTACGTACTGAAATCATGAGAACTGTTTGTCATTTGGGGTTATTGAGATTCTTAACTCATTATTAGTTTAGTTTGAACCCTTGTTCCCCTCCACCATCCATACCTTCCCCTCGTGCTGTGTGAAATGTCAGTTCCATACCTTCCTCTCGTGCTGTGTGAAATGTGTCAGTTCCATACCTTCCTCTCGTGCTGTGTGAAGTGTGTCAGTTCCATACCTTCCCCTCTTGCTGTGTGAAGTGTGTCAGTTCCATACCTTCCTCTCGTGCTGTGTGAAGTGTGTCAGTTCCATACCTTCCCCTCTTGCTGTGTGAAGTGTGTCAGTTCCATACCTTCCTCTCGTGCTGTGTGAAGTGTGTCAGTTCCATACCTTCCCCTCTTGCTGTGTGAAGTGTGTCAGTTCCATACCTTCCTCTCGTGCTGTGTGAAATGTGTCAGTTCCATACTTTCCTCTCATGAAGTGTGTCAGTTCCATACTTTCCTCTCATGAAGTGTGTCAGTTCCATACCTTCCTCTCGTGCTGTGTAAAATGTGTCAGTTCCATACCTTCCTCTCGTGCTGTGTGAAGTGTGTCAGTTCCATACCTTCCCCTCTTGCTGTGTGAAGTGTGTCAGTTCCATACCTTCCCCTCTTGCTGTGTGAAATGTGTCAGTTCCATACCTTCCTCTCGTGCTGTGTGAAATGTGTCAGTTCCATACTTTCCTCTCATGAAGTGTGTCAGTTCCATACTTTCCTCTCATGAAGTGTGTCAGTTCCATACCTTCCTCTCGTGCTGTGTGAAATGTGTCAGTTCCATACTTTCCTCTCATGAAGTGTGTCAGTTCCATACTTTCCTCTCATGAAGTGTGTCAGTTCCATACCTTCCTCTCGTGCTGTGTAAAATGTGTCAGTTCCATACCTTCCTCTCGTGCTGTGTGAAGTGTGTCAGTTCCATACCTTCCCCTCTTGCTGTGTGAAGTGTGTCAGTTCCATACCTTCCCCTCTTGCTGTGTGAAATGTGTCAGTTCCATACCTTCCTCTCGTGCTGTGTGAAATGTGTCAGTTCCATACCTTCCTCTCGTGCTGTGTGAAGTGTGTCAGTTCCATACCTTCCTCTCTTGCTGTGTGAAGTGTCAGTTCCATACCTTCCTCTCGTGCTGTGTGAAGTGTGTCAGTTCCATACCTTCCTCTCGTGAAGTGTGTCAGTTCCATACCTTCCTCTCGTGAAGTGTGTCAGTTCCATACCTTCCTCTCGTGAAGTGTGTCAGTTCCATACCTTCCTCTCGTGCTGTGTGAAGTGTGTCAGTTCCATACCTTCCTCTCGTGAAGTGTGTCAGTTCCATACCTTCCTCTCGTGAAGTGTGTCAGTTCCATACCTTCCCCTCTTGCTGTGTGAAGTGTGTCAGTTCCATACCTTCCCTCTCTTGCTGTGTGAAGTGTGTCAGTTCCATACCTTCCTCTCGTGCTGTGTGAAGTGTGTCAGTTCCATACCTTCCTCTCGTGAAGTGTGTCAGTTCCATACCTTCCTCTCGTGAAGTGTGTCAGTTCCATACCTTCCTCTCGTGAGTGTGTCAGTTCCATACCTTCCTCTCGTGCTGTGGGAAGTGTGTCAGTTCCATACCTTCCCCTCTTGCTGTGTGAAGTGTGTCAGTTCCATACCTTCCTCTCGTGAAGTGTGTCAGTTCCATACCTTCCTCTCGTGAAGTGTGTCAGTTCCATACCTTCCTCTCGTGAAGTGTGTCAGTTCCATACCTTCCTCTCGTGCTGTGTGAAGTGTGTCAGTTCCATACCTTCCTCTCGTGAAGTGTGTCAGTTCCATACCTTCCTCTCGTGAAGTGTGTCAGTTCCATACCTTCCTCTCGTGAAGTGTGTCAGTTCCATACCTTCCTCTCGTGCTGTGTGAAGTGTGTCAGTTCCATACCTTCCTCTCGTGAAGTGTGTCAGTTCCATACCTTCCCCTCTTGCTGTGTGAAGTGTGTCAGTTCCATACCTTCCTCTCTTGCTGTGTGAAGTGTGTCAGTTCCATACCTTCCTCTCTTGCTGTGGTGAAGTGTGTCAGTTCCATACCTTCCTCTCTTGCTGTGTGAAGTGTGTCAGTTCCATACCTTCCTCTCGTGAAGTGTGTCAGTTCCATACCTTCCTCTCTTGCTGTGTGAAGTGTCAGTTCCATACCTTCCTCTCGTGCTGTGTGAAGTGTGTCAGTGTGGTGACTGACATCAACCTTATCTTAACTCAGAAACAGAACACATATTCTATACCAAATGTGTTTTTCGTACAATTTCTGTTTTTAATATGCACCATCAGTTGAACACTGTCTGGACTGTGATTTACGTACATAAGATGCTGGCCTTATCAATTAGTTTTTTTTTTATGAAACAAAAGGAATGAACAATATCGTTCTGTGTACTGTATGTTTTGATAATACTTTTATACCAATACCTCAAATGTTATGTTATTAGGGTCTTCACTAGACTCCTGTTGGTGCTATATTATTGTTCAATTGTTTTCTTATTTTCTTGCATGGAATGTTTAATATTGAGATAATATTGGTCAGGTTGTATATAACATGTCTAGTTGTCCACAGGCTTGTTTAATGTATAGTTGTCACAGTCTCATAACGCCATGTAAAGCTTTTGTCCCACGTCTACAGTCATGTTAGAGATTAGAAATAAACTGCCCAAATTGTATTCTTTGTACTTTGTCTGTGTTGTTGTCAGTCTGTCAATTTATTGATTTATATTATAGTGTTTGTGCGTGTGTGTGCACTTAAAGCTTATGGGTGGTCTCTGGCAAGCTTTCGACAATAATACAATAGGTGATGAATACAATTGCTGAATTTATGGAAGTGTCTTTAAATTAAACAGGTCATGGGTCAGGTGGTTAAAAAATATATCATATTTCTCCTAGTGGGGACCATAGCCTGTTGTGTGTATACTCCAAGCCTGTAGGTGAAATGTGCTATTGTGGTTTTATACAAGGCCATATGTTGATCTTAGCCTGAACATAGAAAATAAACAGTTGTGTGAAGAAGATCATGTAAGAACAATAGTGGATCAATATATTAGTAATACGTTTTATTCTTGTTTGGCAGTGTACACAGATGGTTTGAAGGATCCCATTGATGGGAATACAGGAACAGGTGTATGTATTCCTGCCGATTTTGCAGGTTTTCCTACTTACAAAGCATGTAGAGGTCTGTACATTTTATCATAGGTACACTCAACTGTGAGAGACGGAATCTAAAACAAAAATCCAGAAAATCACATTGTATGATTTTTAAGTAATTAATTTGCATTTTATTGCATGACATAAGTATTTGATACATCAGAAAAGCAGAACTTAATATTTGGTACAGAAACCTTTGTTTGCAATTACAGAGATCATACGTTTCCTGTAGGTCTTGACCAGGTTTGCACACACTGCAGCAGGGATTTTGGCCCACTCCTCCATACAGACCTTCTCCAGATCCTTCAGGTTTCGGGGCTGTCGCTGGGCAATACGGACTTTCAGCTCCCTCCAAAGATTTTCTATTGGGTTCAGGTCTGGAGACTGGCTAGGCCACTCATTTACATTTACATTTTAGTCATTTAGCAGACGCTCTTATCCAGAGCGACTTACAGGAGCAATTACACTCCAGGACCTTGAGATGCTTCTTACGGAGCCACTCCTTAGTTGCCCTGGCTGTGTGTTTCGGGTCGTTGTCATGCTGGAAGACCCAGCCACGACCCATCTTCAATGCTCTTACTGAGGGAAGGAGGTTGTTTCAGACCTCTACATGCTTTGTACGTAGGACAACCTGCAAAATCGGCAGTGTATCAAATACTTGTTCTCCCCACTGTATATATACATACACATACATATAAATACATATACATACAGTGAGGGGAAAAAAGTATTTGATCCCCTGCTGATTTTGTACGTTTGCCCATTGACAAAGAAATGATCAGTCTATAATTTTAATGGTAGGTTTATTTGAACAGTGAGAGACAGAATAACAACAAACAAATCCAGAATAACGCATGTCAAAAATGTTATAAATTGATTTGCATTTTAATGAGGGAAATAAGTATTTGACCCCTCTGCAAAACATGACTTGTAGTGGTACTTGGTGGCAAAACCCTTGTTGGCAATCAGAGGTCAGACGTTTCTTGTAGTTAGCCAGCAGGTTTGCACACATCTCAGGAGGGATTTTGTCCCACTGCTCTTTGCAGATCTTCTCCAAGTCATTAAGGTTTCGAGGCTGATGTTTGGCAGCTCGAACCTTCAGCTCCCTCCACAGATTTTCTATGGGATTAAGGTCTGGAGACTGGCTAGGCCACTCCAGGACCTTAATGTGCTTCTTCTTGAGCCACTCCTTTGTTGCCTTGGCCTTGTGATTTGGGTCATTGTCATGCTGGA